TTCAGGTCGTCACTAGGCTTCAGGTCTTCAAGGCTTCAGGTCGTCACCAGGCTTCAGGTCGTCACCAGGCTTCAGGTCTTCAAGGCTTCAGATCGTCACTAGGCTTCAGGTCTTCAAGGCTTCAGGTCGTCACCAGGCTTGCGGTCTTCAAGGCTTCAGGTCGTCGCCAGGCTTCAGGTCGTCACCAGGCTTCAGGTCTTCAAGGCTTCAGGTCGCGCCAGTGAAGCGGAAGCCAAGCAAAATAAAAAGAAGAGAACTTTTGGAAAAACCAGCAGGTCACCTCTACCCGGCGGTCCGAGACGTTGCCGGTCGGTGGTGATTCTATGTGGCACATTTGTCGATGTGGTGTGTTGCCGCATCGTCGGAGGCCGCATCGTCGAATAGACGGACACCGTTTGCAAAACGGCTCCAGAAGAAACGACGCTGGAAGCTCCGTCGTCGTCACATGCTTCGTGCACAAGTCCCTACAGCAGTGGCACAACTGTCTGAACGGGACCGAAGTGCTTTTGAGGGTGAGCAAGGACAAGCGGCAGCAGCAGACAACTCAGAACAAGACCGAAGTGTTTTGAAGGGTGAGCAAGGACAAGCGGCAGTAGCACACAACTCAGAACAAGACCGAAGAAGATGTGTGGCAGGTGAGCAAGGACATGCCAGCACGGGCCCGGAGGCCCACACAACACAGCAAGCATACAAACCATACAGCCCAACCAACCAAGACCCTCTACGAGGGGGTGGCGGCAAAGGCGGAAGTAAAGCTACCGCCCGACAACGGGAAGACAAGTTGCTCCAAGGCCTTAGTGAGCTGTTACGCCAGTTCACTCCCAATGAACCATCGGCACCCCATGCTTCCCAGCCCCGGCATCCCGACCAGCGGCCAGACCAGAATCCCCGTGGCCCACCCCCTGGCAAAGGCAACCAGAGCTCACATCCCAAGCAAGCAAGCAAACACCATACACTTTTCCAGGCCTTGGAAACACTGGTACAACGTTACAGATCCAAGCCAACAGGCAACCTGTTGCAACGTTTGCAAAGCTTGGTTCACTCAGCACAGGCTGGCAACCTGGCCAATGACACAGGCATCACGGACACTTCTTCCATCACTACATCACCAACCCTGCTGCACACCAAGGGCAAAGGCCAAGGAACCAGCAAAGGCAAAAGCAAAGCCACAGGCAAGGCTACCACCACAACACACCCAGCCACTGGATCCGCAGGCCCCTCCTCCGGCACTACATCCACTCCCGACAAGCCGAGCGAGTCTTCTTGGGTTACGGTTGTTTAAAAAGGCCGAAACCACTCCAGCTCCGTCGCCTCCCAATCCAGATTCCAATACTGACCAGGATGAGCTCATGGAATCAGCAGACAGCAAAGGCAAACATCATCTGTCACTTGATAAAAAGGACCACAAGGCCAAAAAGAAAGTTCGCTTTGATCTTCTCCAAGGGTTCCCAACTCTCGACGGCGGAGGTGATGGTGCCTGTGGATACAATTCACTTGCGGCAGCCTACTTCATGGTGCATAATCCTGGGGCTGACCGCCCATCCAAAGAGCAGTGTATTACGATGGGTCGCACCCTGCGACAACAAATCAAGGCCCACATCGCCAAGCACCGTAGCAGGATTCGTTATTGACCCGGCCTGGACTCCGATCACCGAAGGTGGAGCACCTGCCACCGACTTCGATTCTTGGCCCCAATCTCTTCTTCGCGATAAGCGATGGATTTGTCACACCACTCTCAAAGCGGCAGCCACCCGGCTTGGTTGTCACATTACTGTCTTACTTGACAGTGACACCGGATGCACTCCTATCCAACTGCAGTGTGCCAATACCGCCGCCAAAGTTTTGGTCCTCTACTTGAAAGATCAACGCTACCAAGCGGTGATCCCAAACCCGGCCCGCTCTTGGCCCCTGGAATGGACCGCCGATGTTGACACTCTCTCCCAAATACCCCGTGCTGGGGTCGCTTCGAAGTCCTCTTCCAAACGTGACACACCTCGCATTGACAAATCTTCGATGGACACTTCTGCGTGGTTCCCTCCCAGCACTCCTTCCAAAAGCCCAAATCCCTTTCCTGCTCACACTCCAAGAGCAACCAGCTCTAGTTCCAAGAAGCAGCACCTCTTCGAGACACCAGCACGCAGCAGCAGCACAAGCAGCCGCAGCAGCACACCCCGGCACCCCCATGCACGCGGGACCCCCTGCCCGCTACCCCTGGTGGTTTGGGGACCCATGTCGGTTCGACCTCTGGTGTCGCCCAGGGTAGCGTGGCGGGCCCCACTCCGCGCGCCCACAAAAGCAGCACGGCGTCACCCCACAGCAGCAAAGCATCCAGCAGCAAAGCGGCCACACACCGGCCCAGCAAGTTGAGCACTCCTCACTGGTTTCCATCCAACACGCCACAAGCCAGCTCGCAGAAACGTCCTAGGTTGAACATACCGGATTCTACTCCTGTGCAACCACCTCCAAAACGAGCAAAAAGCACATCTACTCCAAACGTTGCTCGGCCTGCCCGTCCAAAAGTGCGCAGCAAGCTCCACCAACCAGCCGTTGTCACGGATTCATCCTGGAATTGGACCTGCCCACACACTGTTCGGTTCACTTGACTGGTACGAGCAGTCAGCAAACCTCCTGGAAGAGGACTTCCCACATGATGTTTCGCCATCGTGACATCCCACTGAACGAGCGAGCCACGCGCATCAATCGCACACCCATCATCGAAGCCAGCCATGACCTCCCTGAGGACCAACGTGACTGGACCGGCCCATTCTTTTCTGCAAGCCTCCCTGCCTTCCAGAATTACCACCAAAAGAACAAGAATGTCCGGCATCATTATGATACCAAACACCCAAAAAGGGACACCTCCAACAGTGCTATCCAAACATACCGTCGACGCAACAGCAGCCGAAGCAAACAGCCAATTTGCACCCGAGACACAACCATTGCAAACCACAGTTTGGTGCAATTCACTCCCTTTTGGCAGCACTGGCCCTGGCTCGGCAAAAAGGGCAAACACAGGAAAGGGACATTATTTACCTGCACGTCATGCCTCCGCATTGCCAAGTACAGAGAGCCATCTTGGAAAACCAAACCCTGCCTTGGGTCCAAAGCCCCTTCTAGCACTCCGCACGAACACGCTGGAAGGGCATTTGCCGGCATGCCTCCAACATGAACATGCTCCTCCAAATTTGGAAGCTCAGCAAGGCCGAAGCTGATCTGCGATTTGACCAACTTGTGCAGCAGGGAGTGGCGCTTCAACCGGGCCCTTCACCAGAATCTGACCCTGGCTCCCATGCAACAAGCGCCGACATGGCAGGTGAAGAAGAGGATGATGACCCGGATCCGTTTCCTCCTCATCCAAAAAATCAGCTACGGCCCACCGCCAGACTCCTCTCCGTCAATGTCCGGGACGCTCCCGGACTCTGGCGCTTCCTCGCTCTGTTGCAGACTGACCGTCAGCTAGCTGACATCATTTGCCTCCAGGAGGTTTGTCTCCGGCCTTCCAAGTTCAGCACAGTTAAAGCCAAATTTGCAGATTTAAACTTCCATTCCTATTACAGCCTAGGCCGCAACGGTGCCAAAGCCACGGGTGGCGTACTGGTGGCCGCCCGCAACACCATCAGTCAAAAGCACTGTCAAAAGCTTTTGGCAAAGCATGAGCAGGATGACTTTCAACACATCCCTCCTCGAGCCCGCCTTTTAGATCCGGCTCTTTCTGCTTTACAGCATCTACTTCAAACCACGCAAGCAGCCGCTGGCCACCGTCCTTGGCTGGCGGTCGGTGACTACAACGCCACACCAGCAGAGCTTCTGTTCCAGCTGTTTGGCGGCCATCTGGTCCTCAAACAAACACGATGGCAGAACCACCAGGTTCATCGACCACATTCGGTCCAACCTTCTCGTCGGCTGCGCTAAGTTGGGTAGTCCTGAATACAAGATCAGCGATCACAAATGCCTGACGGTAACCATTCCAGTAAAATGGCAAGATGAAATCTCCCGGTGCACGCTTCACAAGGCACACCGCTGGACTCCCCCGCTGGACTCCCCCTCCGGGACACACCCATTCTTCTTGGATGGCACACCTGACAACCACCTGGTCCACACTGGACCTTACTCCTCTCGCGTCAGCCATCCGCACAGCCAGCCTCTCCCTGCAACAGGACCACATTGATGCACTCTGGATTTGCTTCAATTCGATGTTGCACTTTTGTTCCAATCGGCAGCCAGCACCATGACTCCACCTTCCTGCACCAGTCTCCAGCCAACACTCCAGCGGTGGCAACAAGTGGCGGCGACAGCCACCCCCAAGCCTTTACAGCCCCATGCCCACTGGGTATCTGCTCGCCCACGGCGCACACCGGCTGCCAGTTCTTGCGAAAGCAGAGCAACTCCCTCTCTAGCGCTTCACGGCTGATTGAGCTTCTGGACCTCCCAGCCCGCAATGCACAGCAGCAAGCTGAGGCAAACAATCTTTGCCACAAACTACACTTCCCGGCACTAGCTTCGACCAGCATCGGCGACTTTCGTCCATTACTCCAAGCTACAATTGACAATTTGCAGAAGACGCTGGCGCAGGAAGCGGAACAACAAAAACAAGCCAAGCTCCAGCAGTGGCAGCGCAACACGCAGTACGACGAACATAGTCGGTCCAAGTGGCTGCACCGCACCACCTTTTTGCAACGCCCCGCCATTAAACACGATGGCAACACCCTGCAGACAGATCAACCAGTCCTCCGGGCAATCCACAAGCACTGGACAGAACATTGGCAGGAGGCACACGCCACGCCGGCAATCCAGAAAATCAATCACACCACCGCCAATCTGCCCAGCTTTCCTAGTCTCCAAGACCGTCCATCTCCGGCCGAGTTTGCCAAGGCCCGCAAACGCCTTCGTGGGGCAGCTGGCCCTGATGGATGGATAGCAGAAGAACTGCAATGGTTGCCGGCGCCAATCGATGAGTGGTTTTGCAACATCAGCCACATTTGGGAGCAGGCTGGCCGAATTCCCACTGCTTTGCAGTTCAGCCGCCAAATCAATCTGATCAAACCAGCCAAGGTACACAACGGGACCACAACACCCAAGGACCTCCGTCCAATAAATGTCTACAGCTTGTTCTATCGTTGGTGGAGCAGTACATGTGCTCGAAGTGCCTTGATCACTTCATGGCGCACCCAGACACTTCCTCCTAGCATTGTCGGTGGCTTGGGCAGCGCTGGAACCGAGGAATTGGCTTCTCAATTGGCTGATTCCCTCCGATCAAAAGGCTACCTTGCCAGCTTGGATTAATTGTTGGCCTTTGATTACGTCCTGCCCGAAGCTATCACTACTGCTATGAAACAGGTCGGGCTACCACATGGTCTGGCAAATGTTCTTCAAGCACAATGGTCCAATCAAAAGCGGATCTTGCAATGGCGTCAGAGCTGCTACAAACACCCATTGCGCACACCCATGGCTATTCCCCAAGGAGATCCTATGTCTCCGCTTGCCCTCAACATCCTGATGTGGGCTGGCCAGCGGTATGTGGAGACACAGAGCCCTTGCACACCCGGTGACCCGCTCCATGTGGTCTACATGGATGATCGCGCGGGGACTAGCACCACCCCTCGGCTCCTGCTCCATACATTGGACACATGGCGCCAGTTTAGCGCAGCAGTTGGATTGAAAGAGAACATCGCCAAAACTCAGCTGACATATAGTACACCTGCTGCACGGCAAGCTCTTGAACAACAGCTCGTGAACCGGCCAGACCTTCAATCTTCCATCACTACTTCAGCATGTGTCCTAGGTTCTTGTACAACAGGGACTGCCCGACAACTCCATCCCAAAGAGCAGCAGCGCTTGGAGGAAGCAGGAAAACTTTGTGCCAAAATCCGTTTTCTCCCTACGGATTACCAACCGAAGTTGCATGCAGCTCGCTCCCTGGCAGTGAGCAAAGCAAGCTATGGATGGGTTGCCTTTACGCCTTCATTAGCTGAATTGGACAGGTTCACTGCTACAGTCCGAAGCACCAGCAGAGCTTCCAAACACCTGCGCCAGATGCTCTTTGGCGGGATTCGCAGTCTCGATGTCGTCATTGGGGTTAAGCAGGTGGCACTTTGGGGCAAAAGATTCTTGGCAGAACAGTGGAGTCCAGCTCAAAACGCCTCTAGCATCCTGGTGAGTTGGGATGGCGTCATCGAAGGGGCGGCTGGTGGAGGCACCCTGCCTTTGACTTCACCTCGCGTTTGCAGCAGTTTTCGGATTCCACGTTTAAGCACAAACTTGCCCACTGGCTGAGAGAAAGCTGGCGCCTTCTTCAGTGGGAACAAGTCACAGCCAGCACTAGACGGGATGCTCTGCCTTTCCGCAACCAGCCCTATGACATGGAACGGGTCACGGTGGTGCGCAAAATTCTCCAGAGAACCAGCGGCGCTACGGTGGCTATCTTGACTGGCAGTTTCGTCAGTCCTGCATGCTTTGCCAAGCGGAAGGATGTCTCAGCTCGGTGCCCCTTTTGCGCTGAAGAGGCTCAGGCAGATCTTCGACACCTCTTTTGGCAATGCAGAAAACGCCGCACACATGGGCGTCCTGTGAATGAATTGGAAGCTTGGTTTGGATGGCCCAGCCGCGGCCCAGCCATGAAAGTTGCCTCAGCAATCTCGAGGCCATGACCCTGACGGTGGAAGATGTCTGGCGACATCGGCATTCAGCCAAAGGGCGATGGACCCGTAAAGTATTCCGCCCAAAAGGTTTCCGTGCGAAAACTCTCAGCTCCAAGCGACAAAGGATCGTTTAACTGCCCCGCATCGGGGCCACAATGCTGCTGCCAGACGTTCATCTTTGAGTTGACCGGCTACAGCAGCTTAAAAACCGACATCTGATGACCGTCTGGGCGATGCTTTTGGTGGAAGTTGTTCACCCCGCGTTGCAGGACGTTAACAAGGAAAACGGGGCCCAAGTTGGCCCGCGGAGAAGTGTGTGCGCGGAAACGACGCGACCAGTGCGTTGAACGCGGGTCCCATTTCAATGGAGACTCTTGATTAATCCACCTCATTTGGATTGTAAAGCTTATGGGGGGTTGTGCTGTATGTATCTACAGTCTACATGAATCTTGAACGCCTATAAGGAAAAGAGGTGCGCACAATGAAGCATATGTCACCGCAGGCAGCTCAGAGTCCAGCTAGAGGTGGCTTTGGCAATTTGACTTCGCTCTCCGCATTCGATCCCTGCGTTGGTATTCGATCGATCCTTTGAGTGCGCGCCCACCCAACCTTGTCTCAGCAAAGTGCCCCAAGAGCTTCTCCTCACCCATGCCACCCACACAAACTCGCAAACCCTCGCGTCACACGTACGTTGACTTCATCGTTCACCTTTTGGGTCATCGCAGCGGGCGAGTCACTAGCAGCGTTCAAAACCTACGCGGTCTGGGGCTCCTATGACACCGCCTCCTGGTGGCTTTGGCGCGCCTTTGCGGGAGCCAGCCCTTCAATGGATGAGGCGGCGAAGAGCATCGCGCTCGAAAAGACAATTAAGCGCAGGAAAAGAAGATGCAAACTCCGTCGAAGAACGGAAGCAGCCACGGCAGCAGTAGTCTTCTCAGAGCAAAGCCCAAGAGGTTTGGGTGAGCAATTGTTGGGTAACTCCGCCAGACCGAAGAGTTAGTGTTGGTTTCCTGGTTCCAGGTACAGTCTATAAGTGCTAAAATAGTTAAGGATGAAAAGCGCATACAACATATATATTATATAATATACGACAGGAAATTACAAATGGTGAATTACTTTTTAAGAATACACTTTTGTGACATCTTGCCGCATTTGTTTTTCAATAATACAGCCCGGAAAAAACGACATTGCAAGCAATATTCAACGAAATGGCCACTTGATACGCATTGATGTGGGTGGGATGGGCAGCTGGCTCCCTTGTTTTTTGGAGCAGCCTCTAGCGGTTGTCGGGTGGCCTGACCACGTTTCGCTGGTTGTCAAAAGAATCATTGTGTTGGCAGAAGCGGGTTGTGACTTTTGCGCGAAGACACGAAGACACGCGAAGACACGAAGACACGCGAAGACACGCGAAGACACGCGAAGACACGCGAAGAC